TGTTTCGGGTTTAGGGGTTTAGGGNNGTTTAGGGTTTAGGGTATAGGGGTCGCCCCTTTTTTTTTCGATGAAGGGCCGAGGGTTTAAGGTCACCAGAACCAGAAACCCAGAAACCTTGGCGTTCAGGGTTCAGCTAGACTTGAAAGGGGTGGCTTGCTTGCGGAGGTTTGACTAAATAGTTGCAAGATCCCCTTAAAATCCCTGGATTGCTCTACGATAAGCATCACACCAAGCCCTATCTCAATTATCAGCGACCCTACTTGACGCCCCATCAAACCAAAATTCAGCCCCTACTCTAACTGTCTCTGGGGTTTGAGGGTTCGGACCCTCAGCTCCCTCAACGGTGGGGGGGGGGGTCCTTCTCATGCGGATCCGACGATTTACAATCTGTAAGAGGGCTCTTCTTTTCTGAACCTCCTCGCTCAGGATTGAGGATATGGCTGAGGGTCTGAGGGTTCAGGATTCATTGGTGTCCTTCGGTTGATGCGCAAGGTCCGAAACTCAAAGCCCACGCGCCAAACGCCGGGGAAAACCAGTGTTCGAAGCAATTCAAGAGCGGAACGCTGGCGGTAGTCGGTTGATGAAGATGCAGATCCTAGCAGGTTTTTTCGGAACCCGAAATCCAATGCCTGAACCAAAAAGTGGGCGGAGCTCTGAGTGGTGAGGATGGTCTGCTCTGCCAGCGCTATCTTGCCGGACTCTTGCTGCCAGCCTCACACGAGGTTTCTAATGATTCAAGTAGCTTAAGGTTTACCAGCACCCTCCCCCCCCCATATACCTCTTCTTAGAGCCTAAGTACCAACTGCCAAGGAACATCAAGCCTCTATTAAAGGCTATTTTTGTTGAGGGGGTGCTGCTGGTAGCGTTTAGGGTTGGAGTTGGATTCTCGGTTTCTAAGTCGAGCGCAGCGCAAAATACCACAGGCTGTCACATCTGAAACTGAAGTTTTCCGAAAAGTCAGCCTTCCTAAGATTAACCGATTAACCTTAAGCACGAGAAAATATCTGCATTAATACATTTATATCTTCAAACTATATACATCTCTCTCTCTCTATATATATATATGCATGCTCATCCCCCCAGCGACAGACCATCGCAGGGAAAATATTGACGTGGCCAAATTCAAACAATCTTACGGGCGCTCTCATTGGGCTGGAAATTTCAATTAATATCTGGAGCCATTCGTTGTGTCAATAGTTTATTCAACCTTGGCTTGTTTAACACCCGCAGCTTGCACTTAACCTCAATGGAGAATTTAACCATCCGTTCGGCACGTCTGTATTCGACATGATTGCCAGACATTTGTTGGTGAACTCCTGCCTTTGGTCCTTTTTTTGGTCCTGTACCAACATACCTTAATCAGTAATCCCTACGTGAAGATGTTACCATGGGAAGATCAGTTCACTGACTGTTTCACCTACTTGTTAAGCAGGAGCTTTCCTCTGAATCTACGATTGAAGCCTTCACTGTGGGAAAACTCACACCAATCGAAGATCACGGCTGTACAGTACACTTGAAGCAGCATTCCGGAAAAAAAAAAAAAAAACAGCAAACCCAAGAGGCTGGCCTGGGATACGCACTTCGTAAGTGAGTTATCGACTTATGCGTGCTTTTCTGTTTTCATGGGAGAGGGGGGTTATCTAATTGTTGTGTTTTCATGTTTGTATGGCTTTAACAGCTGCTTACAATACAGACTTCTGATCAGTACAACAGCAGAAGTCCACAACACAGTTGTTGCATACATGCTTGTGTAATGGTCATCATTCGCTTGGTGTAACATTTTTAGAGTGATTTCACACAAAAAACAACACCAAGTTCGACCCACGAAGGAATGGACATGACTTGTTGTAGCTCATGCACAGACTTGAGATGAAATAATGCAGAACAAGTATGTAAATGTTTGTTGGTATAGGGACAACCTGATGAAGAACCAACTTCCGGAATACAAAGTTTACCAAGCAGCCACATATTGACATATTTTTCAACAAAATCAATCCTCCAACTTCAATGTAATACCGGAGTACACCATCGCTCTTTTAAAGCACCGCTGTGAATATCCAGGAGCATATACTTGGTAGTTACATACGAATTAGAATGTGAATAGACACAGGGCTCAACAACCCATGCATGTTCCTGTAATGCTTGGTTGGCCTGAAAAATGGCAATACCAACTGTTGAACAGTGCGCCGATTACCCAGAGCCAACCGCACAGGAGTGATTTAACCCAGAAAATGTGATTTCGAACAAACAAGACATGAAGAGGTACAGTGTTCACTGGGTTAGTAACACTGATGGAAGCAGAACGGCAACTCTAATCACAGTAGCAGGCATATTGGTAATGGTAGCTATAACATTGATACATGTAATACTAACAAATACGCTGACCACACTTGATACGCTATTTCGTGCATATTAGAATGTATTCGTTTTTTCGGCATGACTGAAACTGGAAGTTGGGCTTGGATAGGCTTGCAGGTGTACGACGAGTCTAATTCCAGTACACATACCGAAAAATACAATTATAACACGAATTGCTACGAATAGCTGCCATTGCCGGAATTTACTGTGCTTTTGACAAATACACTTAAAACGTTGATGTAGTGGTTTTTTAACATTACAGCTATACCGGCATTTATCTGGCAATACGGCTCGGTGTTGCATCTGCAATTGCATGGAGCAGTGAGGTAGTGGACCTATGTTAAGTTAATGATGGAAAGACTGCACTGTATCAGGAAATCTGGAAAACCAACAACACAAAAAAAAACAAAAAAAAACAAAGAACCGAACAACCAACAAAAACACAACTGTTCCGGCGGGCTCTCTGGATCTTTGGTTTTTCGTCTCAGGCTGGGGGCTCGAAACCACGCGAACACAGAGCAACAAAGACACACAAATGTCAATACAGTTCCGGCATTCTCCTTGGATTTTTGTTGTTTTTGTGCTTTTTTTGTTTTCGGTTGAGTGGTTAAAGCCAGCCGAAGGCAAGGCTTGAGTCCCGAACCCACGAAAAAAGGCCGGAATCGCCGGTGGGAGCGGGGCCTTTAAGGTGGCGGTCTGTCATAGAGGAGACGAGACCATGTATATACCATACACATAAAAAAGTATGTATATATATAAATATACATTATATGTATATGCATATACACACACATATATATATACATGCACTTATACATACATACATACATACATACATACATACACATACATACATACATATACATACATGCATATACATACATATACATACATACATACATACATACATACATACATACATACATACACACACACATACACACATACATACAGACAGACATACATACATACGTATGTACGCACGTACGTACGTACATACATACATACATATATATATATAATATGTATGCATATGGGTCTTTGTAGCTACGAGTAGGGGCTAGGGCTGTTTTCGCAGTATGTTTATGCAATAAGGCCCTCTGGAATAGCATCGGTGTCGGTCCGAGCCCATTCCCAACATCCCATATAAGTTCTTGCAGTAACCCCTTATAGGAAGCCTTAGAGTAACCCTGTAAGAAGCCCTAACCTAAACCCTGAAGCCGGGCTCCGGCCTGAGGGCACGAAGTTGGAGAAGTTTAGGGAACGTGCCTCCCACTTAGACGAAGCCCGTTGCCCGCACTGGCCCTCTGCTTTCGAGTTTTGGCATAGGGTTTGGAAGACGAGGCTGACTCTACCCATACTAAGTGTATCTCTAAGACTGGAAAAAAACTGCATCTTCCCATCCCACGATTGCACCAATCCTTCGCCGAATCTTCCCACAAAAAGGACCTTTATCACCGGTTACGTCTGTTTAGGCCCAGCCTGGTTCCAGCTTCAGCGAGGAGTACAGCGCCTGCACCGCCTTCGGGCGCGGCTTTTCTCTCGTGAGCGTTTGCGCGATGGTGCTTGAAGTTTCCGAACTTCGGAGGCTTTACTTATATTTCGATGAGAAGCTTCGCAGCCTACAATCGATCCCCGTAATTCACAGAAGTTGAAGTTTGTACATAAGCGGCACATGTTGATTCCTGAAGGATCGGGAGCTAACCCATCCAGGATTTCCCAAAGGGGTAGAAAGTGGGGTTTCTATAACAGGAATGAACTACTATTTTTGGTTTGGGTGAATATACCCCAATATAGGTACTTAGCGGCCCTCTGGGTTTCTGACAGACTGGCAACCACTCGAAGCAGAGCGCAGGTGAACCACGGATGCCGACAGAGGCTTTAGGGTTTAGGGTTTCAGCACTCATAGCTAGGACAAGCCAGGCGAGGTTGATCCGGTACGACGAGCAGCGCTTTGGCCAATCTTACGGATTAAACTTTGCAGTCAAGACAGTTGACGCCTCCAGCTTATAACAGAATGGCATTCGCAAAGTGATCATTGTGTCTCCTCCCACGACACCAGGTTACAGTATCTCAAGCCCCTATACAAGGTATAAACCCTAAACCCTAGTAAACCCAACCGTAACCCTCAATCAACCCTAAACCCTAATAAACCGTAAGCCGTAAACCCTAACGCACCCGGAAACCCTAAGCCCCAAGCTCCGACTGAGGCCTTCGATGGCTGCTCAATCACGAACCACCAGATTGACCACTCGATGTTCACCAGCAACTCCTGCGGTTTAGGGTTTTTGACACTCACACCGGGACTGGCAAGGTCTGGTTTAGGGTTTAGGGTGTAGGGCTTGATGGTAAGTTTCCAGCTCTATGACTTGGGACCTAATGGGTCCAAGTTGCCAAAATAGTAACCACCCAGGTTTGGGGTAGTGGTAACGTAGGTTAATATTTGGGAGAGTATATGATAATTGGGTACTGGGGTTTGGGATAATGGATATGTAGTAAGATACTGTTTGGGAGAGTATGCGGCAATTAGGTACTTGGGCCCTTAGGGATTTAGGCACATCAGGCAGGTCGACAGGGCCTTAGAGCCACATGTTCCTCCTGTCAAACGAGGCCGGGGGCTTCGGGTTTAGGGTTTAGTTTGTTTAGTTATTAGGGTTCAGGGCGAAATCATATAAGGCCCAAGGCTCATGGTAGCTCGCGACGCTGGCATCATGGACCAACCGGTGCAGTTCCGTGCCTTGCTCGTCGAGCGAGGCCTTCCGAAGACTGGGTTTCTGCTTTCATGGTATAAGACTGCTCAGCCCCTAATCCCAAAAACTCCTGAAACTTAACCAAGGTATGTTCTGCTATAGTTTTGCCACGTCCAAGTGGTTCGGTCTGGAATCTTCCAGGCAAGTGCCGAGGCTTGACTTTGGGTTTATGATTTCGCCTCCTCTGTTCATGCACTAACATAGACTCTACAACTCTCAAAAACGGGCCGTCATCCGTGTTCATCTAAAACAAAGAGTACAATAATAAACAAGGGAGTCCAGGGTTCCAGGGAGTCCAGGTCCTCCCTCTGAATCATTTCAGAATTACGACTTTTGACAAGCTGACTACTAAGACTCCTCGTAATCAAGGACCCACGTGGGGAGGCCCCCTACACTATCAAAGCATACCGCTTCACAAGCTATAAACCCTAAACCCTGAAGCCTGATTAAACCGTGAACACGACCCTAAACCTGGTGGGCCCTTTAAAGCCTCCGAAAAAAATAAGAAAATAGCGTCCTCTTAAGCCCAATACGGGAAAACACAAATATCCCAAAGGCCTAGCCAGTAAACCCTCATGCAAACTTCCTGACAAGGCGCTTGGAAATCGACCACCGTTTCCATGTTCACGCTCTGCCAGGTCAACATCGGATAGACAAAAGTCAGTATTGAGGACAGCAGCGCAGCAAGCACGATCAGGATCGAAAGAGCTACTCCTGTGGCTGCTTGTGGCATTTTCCGGGGCTTATCTGGAGCACCAAGCTATACGAAACAGTAGGTTAGGACTACCGGTAGCATGCAGGGGGCACATTTCGGGCCCAGGACTGTCAGCTGCCTACGCTTCTCTCCACATGCAAAGCGACACCAAAGCTTTGCTTTGCATGGCAAAGGCTCGTGCAGGTAACTTGAAGATCTCCCGGATCGGATGATGGAGCACCTTCGGCTCCAGAAAATCATCCGAATCGCTGAATCCAGGCACACCACGGACGCGCTGTCGCATGATGCTGTTTACCTTCGCACTGGTTGTCAGATTAGACTATGACAATATCTCTAAGCCCCTGAACCCTGAACTTCCTGAAGCCTATGCCCACTGCCGCTGCTGGCGTTTTCGGAAGAATGCAAGCGGAATGAACGGCAACGAACCCGTGGTCGGTTGACTGCACTTCTAGCCCCGAACCTTTGTAGTGACCATCGAATTTCAAGCTAGAACTATCAGCCTGATGCTCTGAAGCAGAACAACCTCAGCCATGAATCATGAATCTAAGCATGAATCCTGAGCCCGGATCTCTGTACACCAACAAACTCCCTCTGCCTTAAAATACCAAACCCAAAGGCCCACGGTTTAGGGTTTAGGTAAGGTCGTAGCTACAAACAGTACGTAAGCCATACAAGCAAGACAGCCTAAACAGACAGTCCTAAACCATGCCCCAAAATCTCTGCTTAGAAACCCTGAAACAACCCAGCCTTGAATTGCCATTAATAAACAGCTTTAGAGGTTTTAAAAGGTTCGGGGTTTTTGTAACCCTATACATCCTAAACCCTAAAGCCCCCAAACCTAACCTTGCAAGACTCTGAAGTTTCTTGGGAAATCATCAAGAACGGGTGCACTTTGTCCCGTCAGCATCTCCTCTACGCTGCTCGTCTCTGAATCCTCGGCTTCGTTGGCTGTTTGGACCAAAGATTCAGAGCTTTTTGTAGTGTCCTGACAACGGATGTTGCCCGACGGTATGGGCTTGTCTAGTCCTAGCTGTGGTCTTACAGGTCTTGAAGATGGCTTTCTCATGATTTTTGTTTGAGGTGTTCTTGGTCTGTTCTCTGCTTGTCAATTCTATGTTTGGGGTTTACCCGCTGCTTCTGCGGAGGTACATGTCCTCAAGCCCGTTGTGCCTCGAAGCGTCAGAAACTCTAGCAGCTGTAGGTCCAAGGATTGTGCAGAAAGAATTCCGAACGTAAAGAACAGAACTCGTAAAGGGCAAAGCTGCTGTAGAAACGTGTCTCACGAAGCGATCTCCTGACTGGTGGCGCGATCAAACCAAATCGCGATCGCAGGCATAAGGATCCGAAGTCAGGAGCACCAAAATTTCCGAAATTCAGATATCAGATACCGGCCATTTTGCATCAGCATAAGCTGCAGTTTGAGGTCTCTGTCGTGCCATATAGGCCGATGGCTCCGCCATATTGGCCTAAAGCTGTGTATCGTAGGTTGGCAATCGCATCTTTCGCACAGATCCTCCAGCTTCGTCAGGCAGGTGCTGGCTACACTGCAAGCATGGTTGATACGCTGTACGTCGGATGCATGCACTAGGCTAGGTCTGTTCCCCAGCCCGGGATACAAGGCCTGATGTCGCATAAGGAATTTTAGGGTTTGGGTTTTAGGGTTGACGCCTCCAATGACCACTGCATGGGAAACGCAGGAAGCATATGATACGTTGCTATAATGAGCAGGCCGAAGAAATGTCCCAAGCCAACACAACAGAATGGCACAACAAATGCACCGAACAGCTGAGAAGGGAAGCCATCTATGAGTGCCGCTGGAAGCTCCACTTCCAACCTCATGTGGCGATTCTTCGTGGTTTGACAAGGGAAAGCATTCAAGCCTGGACAGTCTGCTGATGGCGAGGTGTTCTCCCATGCAGTCAAATGCTGCCAGTCACATGCTTCGTGAAAATGACCTGACCCACAATCAGTAACTCGTAATGTGTCACTGGACTGTTCTACCAAACGCTTATTATCTCACAAAGAGTCACATCAACTGGATTTATTCTACGAGCTGCCTGTAAATTATCATCGTACAGCGAGTCAAAGCAAGTGAGACTCATGCTTCTGCTTCCCCCCAGGCAGCTTTGGCATTAGGTTGCACAGGCATCACAGCATTCATCGGCTTACCATCAGCACTCAGAGAGTAGGCCTTGGGCGGGGAGTGGCTCTTTTCGTCGATGCCCACTGCCTCCACATCCTCAGAGATGCGGAGTAGACCGGTCAGCTTCAAGATCAAGAAGGCAATCGTGGAAAGAGAGCCGGACCAAAGGATGACCATTGCGATAAGGGCAAACTGTGCTCCGATGGCGTCACCCCCCAAGCCGGTCTTGCAGGCAGTGCCTTCGGTCACGCAGCCCCACCCAGACCAACCGTGGTACTGGTCGATGCCCTTGCCCCAATCGAGGAAGCCGGCCGCTAGCACGCCCCAAATGCCGCAGAAGCCGTGCACGGGGGATGCATCCACAGGGTCGTCGATCTTCAGCTTCTGCAAGAGCATGGACGAGCCCTGGTACACAAAGGCGCCGACCAAACCGATGGCGAAGGCACTGCCGCACTCAACATTGCCGCATCCGGCAGTGATAGACACCAGGCCAGCCAAGATGCCGTTGCAAAGGCCTCCGACATCGTACTTCTTCGTGATGAGATAGCGCAGGAGGAAGACCGTGATGCCGCCGGTGGCAGCGGCCAAGGTGGTGTTCATGGCCACCTGTGCTGCCAAAGCCCCTGTGGCCCCGTCATGCATGCCCAGCGTGGAGCCCGGGTTGAAGCCATACCAGCCGAACCAGAGTGCGAAGGTGCCCAGCACTACAAGCGGCAAGTTGTGACACTCGAACTCTTCCGGGTTGTCGAAACGTCCTTTACGCGGGCCGAGCACAACAGTGCCTGCCAACGCACTCACGCCGCCAGTCAAGTGCACAACTCCGCTGCCGGCAAAGTCCATGTACCCTTAGTATTGACGAGGGTGCTGACAAGCTGACATTTGGCGATTTATGCGTACTGCACACAATTTGACATCGATAAGTTAGGCAGCATTGGTTCCTAACTAGCACATGGCTAGAAACGACAGCCAGCTTGTAGCTACCTCTCCTTGCGGTCCATGTCGCCTACCGAGGTGATTGTGGCCAGAAATCCTCCACCCCATGACCATGCGACGATGATCGGGTAGATGAAGCTCGCCATGAAGAAGGCATACAGTGCATAAGTGGGGCTCTTCACTCGCTCGGCCACGCCACCACTCACGATGGTTGCGCCAGCTGTGCAGAACGCCCACCTCGGTTCTTGTTAAGACGAGGTTTACTCTACAGGGATGCCAGATACATAGCAAGCTTTCCGTGCGGTGGCATCTACAAATGACTTGCTAAACCAAAACCCAGCCGCTGGAAGAACCAGCTCAGCATCGTGCTCTGGCATCCGTCCGCATCGCACGATGCCAGGGGCGAGATGACACCGGTGGTAGCATCAATGGTGTAGAAGCCGATGCCGAAGAAGCCGTCCGTCCCGATGAAGCCGTTAGCAGGTGTACCCTGGCTGCCGTAGGCAAAGGCCCATCCGAAGACCCACCAACCGAGCGTGCCGATGCATACCTAGACCGCTGTCAGGATTTAAAGGGAAAAAACCTTTTCAACAAAGGAACACAACACATCAACACCGGACCAAGATACGTTCACCAAATTCTTCATCAGAACGTTAGAGGCATTCTTCACGCGGCAGCTTCCTGTCTCCAGCATCGCGAATCCTGCATGCATGAACATCACAAGGGCCCCACAAAGGCACAGCCACGCAGAATCCAGCGCGCCACCCAAGCCTGAGTGGCAGTCAAGGAGTATATAGTACAGGAAGCTTAAAGAAACAGTAAAAGTTATGTTGATTGTCACTGTTATCATTTATAGTACTATGGTACTTAGTGATACTAGTCGGTTAGATACTATTACTGTTGGACTGAATTTAGGTTCGTTAACAACATCCCAGCAGCTGTAGTCAGTGCTCTGAAGAGCGGCCACTGCGGTGTTGAACTCCGTCCGGGTGACCCAACCACTGGTCTGCAGCCGGCGCGAGACGTCTCCACGCAACTCGGCAAGGATCAACTTGTTCTCCTTGCAAGAGGCCGCTTTACGGTTGTATTCGTTCAACAACTAAACCCAAACCCTAAACCCTAAACCCCCTTCGATTACTGAGTTGCCTGGCAAGAGTCCTCGTGGAGCTCTCGCTGTGCAATGACCTGCAACTTGAGCTCTTCGACTTCTTGGCGTAGGTCCTCACCCTTCACGGCCAAAGCTCCCAAAAGGAAAGCTAGAATGCTGCACCGCATGGCGAGGAGCGGTGTCGAGCGCACGTTTTTTGGAGCGCAAGGGTATAAGAAGACCTCCGGAAGCTGGAGCCCAAATGCTGCTTTGAGCTGATTCGACTACAATTGCTTGTGTCAGGAAGGCCCCCGGAGCGGCAGGTTTGTCCTTGGGAAGAGAATGGAGCCTCACAGCTCTAGCTGATTGAAGGCTACTATAGGGACCTTTATAAGTAGAACACTTCTGTTTGTTGAGGGGGTATATTGTACTATACTGATAACAAGGAAACCTATAAAAAATAAGATTTACTACCTAATTGTCTGGCACCTAAACTACATGTACATCACAAATCCTCCTTCAATGCACGGACCCCTATCTGCAAGTGCTACAGACAAGTAAACAAAAACGTACACCCACACCAAAACCCTAAATCCACAAAAGCCCTAAACCCGCCAAACTCCAAACCCCTAAACGTCGAAAGCCCTACAATCCCTAAAACCTAATAGTAACCGCTTTATACCCCCTATAGAACCCAGAACCCTTTTGCGCCCTGATAGGACCAATCTTAAACAGCAACCCTAATCCCTAAACAAACCCTAAACCCTACACACCCCTAAATCCTAAACCCACATAAAAACCGCTATCGAACACGTTCGGCACATGACAAGGCTCCGAGCCAGTCTGTGAGGAGGTCTCGCTTCTGGGTCGCATGGCCCTAGGTTGGCTTTTGGTGGTTCTGGACGGCACAAAACTGCAGCTGTAGGCATCTGAAGGCTTTTAAGGCTTAGTGGGCTTCTGTCTGGGGGCTCTTTGTGGGTTCCTAGAAGGGGCTCCATAAGGGTGCTGAAAGGGTTCGGCAGCGCTGTCGGGTTTAGGGTTCAGGGTCTAGGG